GCACATACCTGTAATCCCAGTGCCTGGGGGGCTAAAAACAGGAGGATCATTATGAGCCTGATCTACATAGTGAGACCCTATAGACCCTGTACTAAATAGGAAAGATAAATAAATGAAAAGCATTAAAAAAAAAAACATAAGACACACACACACACACACACACACACACACACACACACATAATGAGAGAAAGAAAATAGGAAAAGAAAACATCCAGTTCTAGATTGTTCTGTGCTGCTACTGGTAGACAACACATGGAGACAGAGTTCTGATGTATGTTGGTTTATCCCAGCACTTTGGCAATAGCTTTTTGGCAGGGTAGTAGATAATCTCACCAAATGTGCACCTTCTATCTAAGTCCAGACTCCCTTGGCCTGGAGCCATAAGAGCACTTTCTTTTGGCCTGAGCACAGCTGGGAGCTACTAGATGGAGCCCATAGCTGCTCTGGAGTTCAGAGCCCTGCTGGCCATTCTCCAAGATGTTCCTGGCCAGTTGCACTCTAGTGCAGGAAGACTGAGCCCTCAGCACTCACCACCAGGTAGCACAGTCCTTCACGTCCACTGCTCCCCTCCAGTGCTGTCTTTCCAGGAAGGCCTGTGGGGTTGCCAGCAGTCATCATGTGTCTTCAGGTTTGAACTGCTCCTCTTCTGTAGTGAGTACCATCATAGGAGAAAGGTGCCATGAGCTACCTCCTTCTTCTTCATTGAAGTTTCTCTCTTCACTCTCTCTGTGGGCTTCAGATCATGCTTCAGAGCCTTCCCGGGTCCAGGGGACCCACCTCCCTTCTTGTCTACCACATGTTGCTAAATTCCAGCATCTGGATGATGACTCTTAGAAAGGCGCTTTCTGTGCTGCTTACCACTTCGCCATCTTGGTGCTCCTGTATGCCTATTCATTTCATTTGTTCATTTTTGATTGGATCACTTGCTTTGGAGGGGGGAGCTGTATATGTTTTTAGTACTTTATAAGTTCTAGATTTTAGTCAGTTGTCAGAAGAGTAGCTGGCAAACATTTTTTTTTTCCTGTTCTGGAGGTTGCCTCTGCAGACAATTTTTAGTTTAATGTAACCTCATAGGTTGATTCTTAGTGTTATTTCTTGTGATATAGCAGTTCTATTCAGAGAGTCCTTGCCTATGCCTATGTTTTCAAGAATTTTGTCTTTTAGAAGCTTCATTGATTCTTTTTTTATGTCTAAGTCTTTGATCCATTTTGATTTTAGTACGGGGTGAGGGATACAGATCTAGTTAATTTTGCTGCACATGGATAGCCAGTTTTTCAAGCACCATTTGTGAATGATGCTGCTCTTTCTCCAGCATTTGTTTTTAGTCTTTTGTCAAAGATAGATAAAAGTGTATGGTATTGGTGTTGTGTATTTTTTCTACTCCACTGGTCTGTGTGTCTGGTTTTTTTTGTGTCAGTACTGTGCTGCTTTTGTTACTATAGCTTTCTGGTTTAACTTGAAATCTGAGATTACAATGCTTCCTGTTTTTCTCTTCTTCAGAGTGCTTTGGCCATTCTGGACACCTTCTGGTTCCATATAAATGTTAGGATTGCTGTTTCTAGCTTTGTGAAGAATGTTGTTGAAATTTGGGTAGGAATTGCATGAAATCTATAGATCATTTGTGGTTATATAGCCATTTTAGCAATTCCTATTCAGAAACAGGGGGTGTTATTCCATTTTCTAACATCCCCTTAAGTCTCTTTCTCCACAATACTATAATTTCCGTTATATATGTTTTCCACTCCTTGATTAGGCTGATTCCTAAGTATCTGATTTTTTGTTTGTTTGTTTCTTTTCTTTTCTTTTCTTTTCTTTTTTTTAAGATATAGTAAATGGGATGATTTTCCTGATTATTTTCCTGCTGAGTTCATTAATGGTATGCAGAAACACTATTGATTTTTGTGCATTGATTTTATATCCTGCCACTCTGCCACATCTGCTTGTTAGCTTTAAGAGTTTTCTGATGGAGGTTTTTGGGTCTTCTGTCTAAAGGTTCACACCACCTACATGTAAAGATTGTACCACTCTTTTTTGCTGATATCTCTTTTACTTCTTTGTCTTGCCTGATTACTCTAAGTTTAATTGCTATATTAAAAATAACTGGGGAGAGTCACCTACCTTTGGCTTATTCCTGATTTCAGAGGGAATGCTTTTAGATTGTCCCTTATTACCATGATACTGGTTATGGATTTGTCCTAAACTGCTCATACCACGTTAAAATAAGGTTGTTCTATATCATTTTCATCAGTACTTTTATTATGGTAAGAGATCAGATTTTATCAAAGACTTTTATGCATCTATTGAGATGATCATGTCATTTTTAATCTTTAATTATATTTATAAAGTAGATTATATTTATTGATTTATGTAGGTTGTGCCATCCTTGCATCCTTGGAATGAAGCTGACTTGATTGTGATGTATAATCTTTTTATTGATTTATTGTGTTTCATTTGCAGTATCTT